CAAGCCAGTGTTTCACTCCTTTCAGCCTCAATGTCCCCACCTATGATGTGAAGATAATAACCCCTAAGTCACCAAATTGTTTTGGCTTAAATAAAGTAAAACCTGATATAGCATTATTCACAATAACCAAAAGGTGAAAGAAACACAGGTGTCCATCAACAGATGAATGGATAAACAAAATGTGGTATGCATACAATGGAATATTTATTATTCAGTCTTGAAAAGAAAGGAAATTCTGACACATGCTACATGGATAGACCTTGAGGACATTATGCTAAGTGAAATACGCCAGTCATAAAAGGACAAATACTTTATGATTCCGCTTATATCAGGTACCTGGAAAAGTCAAATTCATAGGGAAAGAAAATAGATTTTTCTTATATAGATCTTTCATCTGTTTAGTTAGATTGATTCCTAGGTATATTGTACTTTTTGTAGCTATTATAAATGGGATTGCTTTCTTGACTTTTTTTCAGATTGTTCACTGTTGGCATATATAAATGCTACTGATTTTTGTATGTTGATTTTGTATCCAGCAACTTTACTGAATTCATTTATCAGCTCTAACAGTTGTCTGGATGGGTCTTTAGGTTTTTCTAGGTATAAGATCATGCCATCTACAAACATGGCTAATTGGACTTCTTCCTTTCCAATTTGGATGCCCTTTATTTATCTTTCTTGCCTAATTATTCTGGCTAGGACTTACAGTATGATGTTGAATAAAAGTGGTGAGAATGGGCATCCTTGTTTTGTTCCAGTCCTTAAAGGAAAGGCCTTCAATTTTTCCCCATTCAATATGATGTCGACTGTGGGTTTGTCATATGTGGCCTTTATTATTTTGAGGTATGTTGCTTCTATACCCATTTTGATGAGGGTTTTTTTTTTAATCATAAAGAGATGTTGAATTTGATCAAATGCTTTTTCAGCATTTATTGACATAACTGCATGGTTTTGTCCTTGATTCTGTTCATGATTCATAATATTTAGATGCTTTTTAAAGATACAGGAAATCAGTTGGATATCCCATGAGGAAGGTTAGAAGGAGAAGGAAAGAGGGCCCAGAATACAGCTCTGGGCCTTTCCAACACTAATGGTGGAAGGAAAGGGGCCAGAAAAGAAGACTCAGAGTGGCCAGACAGAAAGGGAGGGAAAAAAAAACTCAGAAAAGCTTTTTTTGGTATTATGAGAAAAGAAAGAACAATGCTCAAAAAACCATAAAATAAAACTCTGATGAAGAAATTGAGGAGGACACAAAAAAATGGAAAGATATTCCATGCTCATGGATTGGAAGAATTGTGTTAAAATGATAATACTACCCAAAGAAATTTATAAATTCAATGCAATCTGTATTAAAATAACAATGACATTCTTCAAAGAAATAGAAAAAAAATCCTAATATTTATGTGGAACCACAAAAGACTCTGAATAGCCAAAGTAATCCTGAGCAAAAAGAACAAAACTAGAAGCATCACACTACCTGACTTCAAAATTTACTACAAAGCTATAGTAAACAAAAGTGCATGGTACTGTCATAAAAACAGACCCATGGAACAATGGAACATAATAAAAAACCCAGATATAAATCCACGCATTTATAGCCAATTTATCTTTGACAAAGTCTCCAAGAGCATATAGAGGGGAAGGACAGTTTCTTCAATAAATGGTCCTGAGAAAACTAGATAGCTGTATGTGGAATGAAACTAAACCCCTATCTCTCACCATACACAAAAATCAAATCAAAATGGATTAAAGACTTAAACTATGAAACTACTAGGAAAAAAACATTGGGGAAACGCTTCAAGACTTTGGTCCAGGCAAAGATTTTTTGTGTAAGACCTCAAAAGCACAGGCAACCAAAGCAAAAATAGACAAATAGGGTTACATCAAACTAAAAACCCTCTGCACAGCAAAGGAAACCATCAAGAAAGTGAAGAGATAACCCACAGAATGAAAGAAAATATTTTCAAGCTATCCATCTGACAAGGGAATAATAACCAGAATATATAAGGAGTTCAAACAACTCAATAACAATAAAACCCAAATGTGACTTAAAAATTGGCAAAAGAATAGACATTTCTAAAAAGAATACATACAAATGGCCAAGAGGTATATGAAAAAAAACGTTCAACATCACTAATCATCAGAGAAACGCAAATCAAAACCACAAAAAGATATCATCTTATCTCAGTTAAAATCGTTTATATAAAAAAAGGCAGGCAATAACAGATGCTGGGGAGGATGTGGAAAAAAGGGTAATCCTCATACACTGTTGGTGAGACTGTAAATTAGTATAGCCACTAGGCAAAACAGTATGGGAGTTCCTAAAAAAACTAAAAATAAACCTACCATATGATCCAGCAATTCCACTATTGGGCATGTATTTGAAAGAAAGGAAATCAATATATTGAAGGGATATCTGCACTCCCATGTTTATTGCACCACTGTTCATAATAGTCAAAATATAGAATCAACCTCAGTACCCATCAATGAATAGATAGAGAAAATGTGGTACATACACACATTGGAATATTATTCAGCCACAAAAAGAATGAAATCCTGTCATTTGCAACAATATGGACAGAACTAGAGGCAATTATGTTAAGTGAAATAAGCCTAGCACAGAGAGATAAATATTGTATCATCTCACTTATATGTGGAAGCTAAAAAAAGTGCATCTCATAAAGACAGAAAGTAGAATGGTGGCTATCAGAGGCTGGGGAAGGGCTGAAGGGAGGAGAGGAAGAAGGGGAGAAAATACATGTGTGTGGTTATTATCACTGAACTGTACATGTAAAATGGTAAAGATGGTAAAGTTTTTATGTATATTTTACCTCAATAAAAAAGTACAAAAAAATATATTCAAAACTAATATCAAGTAAGTGTTTTAGGTGGGTAGTGGAGGATACACTTAAAATATGTGAAGAAACAATCATCTAAAAGTATCTGTGGTTGTCATATTTTTCATGGTAAACATCCTCATAGAGGAGGGAGTATATTATAGAAAATATAATTTACATTCTCCTCTCCTATTATATTCTACCACTCCCAATCCTTGTCTTGCTCTTGCATAAAGTTCTTTCAGCGAGTAAAAATGTATCATTTGAAAATAAAGTTTGGTTTTTTTACATGTAAAAAAAAAAAAGAAAAAGAAAAGAAAAGGAACGGTTGTTGCCAGGGGGTGAGAGAGGTCGGGGGAGAGCGAGGAATTATTGTTTAATGAGCATAGAGTTTCAGTCAGGGATGAGGAAGTTCTGGAGATGGATGGCGATGGTCACACAACAGTATGAGTGTACTTTTTGCCATTTAACTGTACACTTAAAAATGGTTACGATGGTACATTTTATGTTCTGTGTATTTTACCACAATTTAAAAATGAAAATAATATAACCTAAGAATATCCCTAGCTCAGTGACGAGAACACAGTTGCTTCTCGATGAATGTCAGTTCCCTTCTTACCACTCACTGATGTGATACCGGCCTTGGGGGTCATGCAGTGTAAATCTCTCACACCCAAATATTAAAAGAGTATCAGTCACGTGAAAGACAATTCCCTTCTGGAAGTAGGAAGCAGATGGTGGCACTTGAGGGAGAGCACTGGACACTCTTCTCTGCATCCAAACCTCCTTAAAAACAACTTCCAGACGTGGACATAGCATCTAGGTGTGGGGCGATGACCAGTGTCAAAGAAAAAACTCCTCCTGTAGATACGACATCCTACAAGATCAGATCACGAAGACTGGAGGGCGTGCGCCTAGGATGGGGGACGGTGCCGCTGGCTCTCTGGGTCCCTGCCTCCTAAAGCCTCCGACAGCTCCCGCGCCCAGCTCCGCCTGCCGCCTGCCTCTCTCCCTCCCACTGCCCTGCCCTCTCCTTTCCTTCTCCCCACACCCCTTCAGTTCTCCCTGCCCCTGGCTCCTCCCACTCTCCGCCCCGCTCCGCCCCTTTCCTTTAAGTCCTGCCTGTGAGAGGAAAATGAAAGTGAAATAGGGAGCCGGCCTTCTTGAGTCTGCCGATCAGGTGAGTGAACCCCGCTAGACCAAGGGACCCCTGCCCTTCCTAGGAGACCCCTCTCCTCCGCCCACTCCAGCTGTGAAGGGCCCCTTCCGACCGGTCCCCACCCCTAGAGCCTGCCCCATTTGCCCCTTCTCCGCTGCCGGGCTCGCTCAGCCCAAGCCCAGCAGTTGCTTCCTCGATGGCCCGTCTTCCCGGGAGGGGTCTGGGGTTTGACTGTGACTTCGGAGTCACCCCGCAGTGGCTGGAGCTGCCCTGAGACTGGCACCTGAGCTGCGGGGAGGGGCAGGTGAAGCTGCGAGAACCGGGACTGTAACCCCGCCCAGTGTGGGGGAAGTCTGCAATGCTGGAGACTCCTATCCCCAAAAGTCTCCCCCTATCCCAGTGAGAGGGGCAGGCTGTTTAGGACCTTCAACTAGAAATTTATGCGCTTTCAAGACTGCTCTATGCCCTAGAGGACATGAAGACAGGAAGTAGGTTTGGAGCAGCTGAGAGAAGAGCCCAGGGAGTGCTCTCAACACCTGTGTACATTATTGTAAAGATCAATGAAGATGTAGGCAAAGCAGTAGCATCTCTGGCACGTGGGAGGTGCGTGGTCAATGGCCACTGTTCCTATGATAATAATGCTCCATTATAATCTGCATTGTATCACCCACACGGGGGCCTGCTGGCATAAGATGGGAGAAGATGGATGGGAAACACCTGGGCACTGAGGGTTTGAGCAGGGATGGATGTGATGAAAAAACTGTCAACAGCGTTAGCGCTGAGGTTCCCACCAATTTTCTCTGCCTCTCTGGGGGATGCAGTTTCTCCTTTTGACTGACTGGATCAATGGACCAGACTATGGAGGAGAAGTTCTTGTTGTTCCGGTTGATGTTCTTATGTTTTCTTGTTTTCAGGCTTCCAGTTCACTCTCCGTTTTCCTTTGCATTGTTTTTCTCGTGCAAACTTCCTCTTGTCTTATCTTTTCCCTTTCTTCTATCCCCACCAGGTCTCCGCAGTGTTGCTTAACTGGAACGTGTCACCCCTATGGCCTCAGCAATGCCCCTGGCAATGATGTGGGAGGAGGTCACGTGCCCTATCTGCCTGGATCCCTTCGTGGATCCTGTGAGCATCGATTGTGGCCACAGCTTCTGCCAGGAATGCATTTCTGAGGTTGGGAAAGATGGGCGCAGCATCTGTCCTGTGTGTCGGCAACGCTTCATGCTCAGGAACCTCCGGCCCAACCGGCAGGTAGCCAACATGATGGAAAACCTTAGAAAAATCAGCCAGGATGCCACCAAGGAGGGAACACCGGGGATGCAGTGTGCAGTGCATGGAGAGAAACTTCACCTGTTCTGTGAGGACGATGGGAAGACCCTTTGCTGGGTGTGCGCCCAATCTCGTAAACACCGTGACCACTCCATGTTCCCTATCGAGGAGGCTGCTCAGGAGTACCAGGTGAGGCCTTAACACAGAGACACCAACAGGAAGAAAGAAGGTGGGCCCTGATAGTGCTTTGTTCCACAGAGGTGGGGATGAGAAAGAGTCACCTCTGAAGTTGAGGGGATGGGGAAAGGAGGGACATTCTTCCTTCCATGCCTAATATAAGGGGATAATTGCAGACTAAACACAATCTTCTCATTCCCTAGGAGCAGGGGCTATCCTATGGGACAATGCTTCAAGGATTACCCCACCTTACTATGCTGTCTGGTTTGAGACTGATCTGTTATCTTTCTCTGCAGGAGAAGCTCCAGGTCGCATTGGAAAAACTAAGAAAAAAACAGGAGATGGCTGAGCATTTGGAAGTGGAAGTTGCAATGAAGAGAGCAGACTGGAAGGCAAGAGTCATGTCCTGAAGGCTGGGCAGGGCCCAGGGTCTTGGACTCACAGCCTTAACCGTAGCCATCTCTGTCTGAGGAATGAGATATACCAACTGCCCTCTAGATCTCCAAATAGAGGGGATAAAAAAAATGGAGGCTCAAAGGAGAGCTCCCCATAAAGGCATAAAGATCAAGAATCATGGAAGAAGGTTCTGAGAGGGTTGAGCTATACCCTAAAGCTCTCCACTCCTCTAAGCCCAGTCTCAGGAGCTGACAACATCAGTACCTTGTTGTCTGGGACAGAGGTGCCCCAGGAGAGAAGCCCAACTGCTAGGTCTTTCAGGAAATAACAAGGGCTATGAGGAATAGACTTCAGGGAACCATCAAGGCCTGAGGTAGAAAAACTCATCTGACTAGTTGGTTGCTTGACTGTGTCCAGGTCGCTGATCCAAAATAATAATGGAGAACCAAAGTTCATTCCACACTGGTGATTTGTTAGTAGAGGTGGGGCATGTCAGGCATTAGAGAGAAATGGAATGGACAGTGCATTCCAGAAGAGGAAGATTTGAGATTGAGGAAGGGCGAGTCAGGCTGTGGGGGCAAAAGGGATCATCCTGTGTCATTGGGTAGCCTTCCAGCTCCTGGCAGGAAAGGGAGAGCAAAGAAGGTCCCAAAGCCATCTTTTCCCGGGACTTAGGGATGGTAGATGATATCGTGAACCTGACTTTGTGGGGTTATTGGGAATAAAAACAGATGTTCCTCTCTTGATAACTCACTGAGACATGAAGACAAAGCAACACATTTGAGTGGTGACTGGTTTTTGGAAGAGAGGTTGAAAAAAGCCTCTGATGCAACAGGTTCGTGCAGCTATGGTTGTAGGCCAGCTGCAATGTGCTCCCTACCAATCCCATTCCCCTCTCAGTCCCAGAATCCTCACCCACCTACCTCCCCAGCAAAAGTGAGTGTGTGTGTGTGTGTGTGTGTGTGTGTGTGTGTGTGTGTGTGTATTTATTCCCAGACAGCATGGGCAGAGTGATGAGTCTACAGGGGCTAGAGATAGGTACCGATGCCCCCATTCCCAAAGCCTGAGAGATTTTAATAAAAACCACCTCTCTCTTTCTCTTGACACCAAAGAGGAAGGTTGAGACACAAAAATCTACGATTCATGCAGAGTTTGTGAAGCAAAAAAACTTCCTTGCCATAGAGGAAGAGAGGCAGCTGCAAGAGCTTGAGAAGGATGAGAGGGAACAGCTGAGATGTCTGGGGGAGAAAGAGGCTGAGCTGACCCAGCAGAGCCAGGCCCTGCAGGAGCTGATCTCAGAGCTGGAGTGGAGGAGCCACAGCTCAGCGCTGGAGCTGCTGCAGGTGAGAGGACGGAGGGCCCCTCTGAGATGCAAGGAGTAACTGAAAAAAGCCAGAGCTGTCTGGAGCTACCGTTAGAACAAACAGAAACTTGGTCCCTGGGATATTCTTAAACAAACTGGAATTCAGACCCATGAGTGGTTTGCATTCAAGGCATAGAAGGGTACAGATTTAGGAGGGAATATTCCATTCAGCAATTAACAGAAATAGCCATCCCTGATAAGTGTTACTCTAACACATACCAGGTGTGGGACCTTGAGAACATTCCTTAATCTTTCTGAGCACCCAGTTTCTCACATGTTAAATTGATATTGTAATATTACATATCTCAAAGGATTTTATGAGGATTAAATGAGAAAATCCCCTAAGGCTCTTAGATGAGTGTCTGGCCATGAAAAGATTTTTAAAGTAAATGTAACATAACTAAAAACACTGAACTGAAAATTAAGAGGCAATATCCAAGCCCCAGCCCTGCCACCAATTTTCTTCATAACACTAGATTAAGTCATTTTCCTTTCCTGGACCTAATTTCTGCATTTCTGAAACAAGAGAGAGGGAGTGGACTAAATAACAAGGGTTGCCCAAACTTTAGTCATAAATGTATCATCTTTACACTTTCTGCTACTTTTGTGAACTGTCTATATGATTTTAACATGTTATTTTTCTTTAAATTGTCTTACCCTTTTCCCTGAATAAATTTAGTTTAAAAGGAAATTTTTCCAAAGCAGTAGGAGCTGGGAAATCATGTCTTTATGTGTTACTGATGTTTCTTGTAGTTTATTTCATAACAATAATATTAACTGCAAATTCTTAAATAGCTCATATTACCTGCCAGGCATTCAGGTGGGTGCTTCTCATCTGTTTCATAGATGAGAAGACCAAGATGCAGAGATGTTGAAACTTAGTGAGAGACTAAAGCTAAATAACTTGAGCAGGTTTATCCAAACAGTAAGATGTAGAGTTAAGATTAAAATAAATATATAACTTTTTTAGAAAAATCATCACTGCATGTTCTACTTACAATCACCTCACTTCCATCAGTGATATGTTTGCCTCACTTTGGGAAACTATGAACTAGATGGTCTCAGAAGTCCCTTCTGCTCTAATATCCTACAATTCTTCTTTTTCCCATACTTTTTCACTGTCTCTGTCAGATGTGGTCATGAAGCCATTTCTTTCTGGTTTGTGCAAAAAAAAAGCTGATTGTATTGGGCTTTCTTCTGCCCAACCTTGAACCAGGCTTTCTAAAGCACTTTGGACTGGGCCTTGGAGCCTGCCAGCTCCCATGTAAGGGCCCCCAGTCCCTGCAATAGAATATTCTCAAGTGATTGATCTCCTATACAGGAGGGGGAACATTAACTATAGCACAGAACAGAGCTCTAACTAGCTAACCCTTCCTCCCCAAACAATTCAAGCCCTCAAGTGAGATAGAGCAGGTTCTGATCATCCTACTTGGCCATTCTCTCCCTGTGACTACCTCTGGACTTCAGCCAGGCTGGACTCTTTGCCCTCTTCCACCCTCCTCCCTCCCTTCCCCTGCCCCCAAGAACCTGGTCTTTCTGAGTCAGAGTCCTTTAACTGATGATCTTTCCCTAGCTATAGGTCACACCCATGCTGGGTTTCTGGTGATTCCACAAACAACCACACGTTCTTTCTGCTTCAAGCTGATCAAAATCATCTTTTGGGCCTTGGTCCAGAGGAAGGGGAAGGGTAGTGCCCCAGGGACCACAGGGAGATGTCACATCGCCCACAGGGCTGAAGTCTCAGTGATGAACCAGAAATTGCAGAACTTACTCTCTGTCTCTTTTCTCCTCAGGAGGTGAAAATTGTCCTGGAAAGGTAAGGAGAAGTTTTCTTTGTTAGAAGAGGGGATGGCAGGAAGCATATAGCCCTATGAAAAAGCTTATCAAGTTATAAATACCTGCACTGAAGTTTTCTCCATCCACCTCCCTATTCTCCAAGATCTGATCCTCTATAAAATAGTTTCTGGTCTCAGAAGGCTAACACATGGACATCTCAGTTGGTGGATTGCCCAAAGTAATTGGATTATAACATCTGCACACAGTAAAGCCCCCCCAAACAGGGAAATTCTGGGAAGTTCTAGGTCTACAGATTACTGGGACTTCCTCTTTAAATGGAATATAACCAATTACAAACCTCTTAGAAAGGGCCATAAGACCCACAGCATGGGCGAGACTCCTTGAGTTTCCCTACAAAAGTAATTCAGCCTAATCAGATGCTTTGCCTGTAAAATGAAATAGAATGTGATGCATGGTGACCTCAGGCTTGGACAAGAGATAGACTGTCCACATGCTGCAGAGCCTCACATAACCAGAAACTCCTGCGTAAGAACTAAATCCTACATTTTTGCCTCTCACCAGGGGGTGACCCCGGAGACCTGAACATAAGAGGTGTTTGTGAATTTGACTTGAATTGAATTATCAGAGGTTACAGCATTAGGGTTTGAGGTAGGAGGTAGGCATGGAAGAAAGGAGTCTCCAACTCTCTTTTCCCCAGGAGTGAATCCTGGAACCTGAAGGAGCTGGACATTGTCTCCCCAAACCTGAGTAGTGTGTGCTGTGTGCCGGGACTGAAGGAGATGCTGAGGATGTGTGGAGGTGAGGCGAGCTCTAGGAGCTGTGGGGCTGGAGCTTCAGGGGATACCAAGGGTGCAGAGTGGGTCCCGGGGATAGGGAGAATAAGAATGGATGGCAGCTCAGAGGCAGGACGGAGCAGGTGGGGCAGAGACAGAGGTAGGGAAGATGGTTTTCTCAAAGGTCGGGGAAAAAGGCCAGACTGGCTGAGGGTTATTTCCTCACATGTTGAGGTTCAGGGTCACCCTCATCCTTGCCCTGGAATTTACACAAAGTCCCCCCAACAGGCACAGGTTACTGATTTCCCCCACACAAGACCTGACTGTGGTCCTCTCTCTGCAGTGCACGTCACTCTGGATCCAGACACAGCCAACCCCTGGCTCATCCTTTCAGAGGATCGGAGACAAGTGAGGCTTGGAATCTCTCGGCAGGAGGTGCCTGAGAATGAAGAGAGATTTGATAATTATCCCATGGTCCTGGGTGCTCAGCGCTTCAACTCTGGAAAACTTTACTGGGAGGTAGATGTGACGGGAAAGGAGGCCTGGGACGTGGGGGTTTGTAGCGACTCGGTACAGAGGAAGGGTTTTTTTTCACCCAGCTCCAAGAATGGCTTCTGGACAATTTGGTTGTGGAGTAAACAAAAATATGAGGCTAGCACCTACCCCCAGACTTCCCTCCACCTTCAGGTGCCTCCACGCCAAGTTGGGATTTTCCTAGACTATGAGGCTGGCACTGTCTCCTTCTACAACATCACTGACGACGGCTCCCTCATCTACATCTTCTCTGAATGTGACTTCACTGGACCTGTGCGGCCCTTCTTCAGTCCTGGTTTCAATGACACAGGAGGAAACGAAGGCCCTCTGACCCTCTGTCCACTGAAGACAAGACAGTAGGGACCCAGTGACTGTTGATGGCGCTCTCTGGGCACTGCCACCCTCCCTGTTGGCACCCCTTCTCAGCCACAGACCCTGCGTCTTTTCCGATGAACTCTGTGCCTCCTCTGTCTCTACAGAGGGACCAGGATCCCAGCCAGCAGGCTTTAGCGGCAAGGTCACTTCCACACCATTATTGCTGCCCTAGATTGCCTTATGATTCCCTCTAGGGAAGCAAACTCCTTATATTTGGCCCAGATGCATCTGGATCAACAAAAATGTGATTCTGCCTAAGTTTTGTTTTGTTTTCTCCTCTCTGTCTCTAGGTTGTTGCCTTTGGTCAGATCTCTATTATATCTTGCATGGTTTGCAAAAGAGCTTTCAAAAAAAATTGTACCTCAATCTATCCTATTCGGTCCTTCTTCCTAAATCTTGAAATACTTGACAGCTCTGAATATAATTAATAGTGATGTGTCTATAACATTGTTCATGTTTTTCCTGCCTGGAGTGCCCCCTCCCCTCACATTTGGAATATTTGGCTTGGACTGAAGATTCGGGTCAAGAGTGTCTTGTGTAACTCCCCACAGCAGCCACTGTGGTGAGAGAAGACCATGTGAGGCTCTGATCACTGCCTGAGGGGGTGCCACCTCCTCACTATGAGAGAACTGGTTTTGAAAGACAAGGTTCTTCTGGGGCCAGTATAGCTCCCTGGATCTCTGACCCTTACAGACCTAAGACACCTTCTGACCATGTTCTTAGCACTAGGGTGTGGAGAGCTAGTGCACATGGGTTTTGAGAAAGATGTCTCCAGACAAAGATTAGGATAGAAAGAAGAAGTGTCTTTACTTCTCCCTGGGTGGAAAAAGGGCCAACACAGAACTAAAGGAAGTAAAGGAATGTTGGCAGAGAGAACCAGGTACTCAGGCTTTTTATTTAGGGGGCGAAGAAGGTTTATGGCTATAGCCAAATTAATAGGGTACTGCTGCATCCACTCCGTTCTTTCTTCCTGGCGGCGAGCTAATAAAAAAGAAATTGAAACTGCAGCAGGATGTCAAAGTCCAAGAGTTGGCTCTCTTGGCTTTCCTTGGAGAAGGGATTATTACAGGAGATGTGACTCTGCCCTCAAGATATGGCTGAGGCCTGAATCTCATACCCTGCTGTTCACTCAGAAACTCTAAAAACAGATCCTCAAAAGCAATTTTAAGAGAGAAAGATTTACGTCACTTTTCTGTTCAGCTCTTTTCAGAAGTGCAAAACAGAACTCCTGAAGGGTGCCTGTTAGTGAGAAAACTCATAGGATTGATCTTTAACTGTTACTAGGAAATTGCAGGATTAGATATTTTCCTGTTAATTTTGCAAGGCCGCCCCTTTCACTTAGTAGTTGACCGGTGACAAAATCCAAGTTCCTGGAGCTCTCTGCCCCTGGAGGGCCAAGGTTGGGGTGCCCCCTGCTCTCGGTGTTCTCCTTGACAACTGGCAAATTCCTATGCCCCTTGAAACATCCAATTTTAATATCAGTCTTCTCTGAAATGCTTGCTCTTGGGCAAATTTTCTGACTTCCCCAGAAGAATAAATGTTGCATTCACTAACAGATCCCAGAGAAGAGGTGCGTATGCAGTGGATGTGACCACGTCCCCAGTTATAAGGATTTGGAGCCTGGAGAAATGTGTGTCTGTCAGCATGTGTTCCAAGGCAGCAGTTAAAGCCATGAGTACTAGGGAAAAAGAGCCCAGTTTGTCCTCCACATGCTTCCACTGCAGAGGACAAAGTATCCTGTCAGCCAAGGTGAGGGGAGAACATGGGAGAAAGCATGATAGTGAAGGTGGTTTCATCTTCTTCCTGTCTGGGTGACCAGGTTACCTCCTCTTGCCCTTGACCCCATGGCTCCTACTTGAATGGTTGGTGGTAGAAAGAAGAGTTGTAAATAGATATGAAAAAGAAACCCAAACAAGGGAATCATCTAATTCCCAGGGCTCAGCCATTAATGAGCCCTCTCAGAACATCTGCAGCTCAGACTGTGCCTCAGGGCCAGGGGCCTCCAGATGGAGGACAGAGAAGAGAGGCAGGGACAGGCATCGGACAGCTTCTGCAGACAGAGACCAAGGAGGGTGGTGTGGTCTCTGGGGTCAGAAGTAAATGGTGGGACATGGACTCCCTCTGGAGTGTCCCCAGACTGGGTTGTGGCAACTTCCTTCCCTTCTCTCCTCTCAAACCCTAAGAACCCCTCACTGTTTCCACCTCCTCCTCAGTTCTCTTTGATGGAAGGAACCATTCTCCCTGTTCTCAGATTCAGACCCCTCAGCCCTGGATGGGACGGACACACACACACACACACACACACACACACACACACACCCCTAGTTCTCACCCACCTGGTTCTTGGCCTCACCTTTGACCTGGACCTCCGATGGCTGCCACAGGATGGTACACACACACACCCTGGTTCTCACCCACCTGGTTCTTGGCCTCACCTTTGACCTGGACCTCCGATGGCTGCCACAGCATAAAGGCCAGAGCCTGGAAATCTGTGGGGCTGGTCTCTCTGGGTCTCCTGCAGGAATTGCCCCAGCTGGGTGAGGGAGTGCAGGTGGGGAGGGTTAAGGTGTGGAAGGGGCTGGAGGGAGTTAGTGTCTGCCCAGGGGAGTGTGAGTTACTGCAACATGAGGCTCTGGGTGCTTTGTTGATGAAATTTCCTCCCTACTACAGTTCCCGAAACCCAGGGTTTGGGGCTGAAGCTCTCCCCAGCCACATCCTGATTATAATGGAGTTGATGAAAGAGCATTTCAGATATCACAGGTCTGTCCTAGTGTGAAGCACACTTGCCCAGAGATATAGAATGTGGCCACATCCTCTCTCAGCCTCCTGATTCTACCTTGGGAACTGTTTCGACAGAGAGAAATATTGAGCCCACAGCCTTCTCCAGGCTGCTCTGTCTGTAGGGAAAGCCCAACAACAGGGAGCAGCAGCTGTGGAGTAGAGCCATTCCACCCTAGGTAGAGAAAAAAAGGGATCCTAAGTCCTGTGGTAAAGTCTGAGAAGGGCGTGGCTGCTGGAGCTTGGCCATTGCATCCCCTGTCCCTAATACAGTGCCAGGGACAAAGCAGGTTCTCAGGAAATAGTTGCTGGAATGCATCCTGGGAGTCCAGCTGAAAATTACACTCGGATTGAAGATGAGAGAGTATCTTACCTCAGATTGCATAAGACTAAACATTTACACTTCCAGGACAAGTGACTAATATGCCAGTCAAAAACGCATTTCTCACTGTTTACAAAATGCGCTGGTCCTCCCCTCCCTCCCTACTTTTGGACCCTAGAAACTCTAAAGTTTCTTTGGAAATTCAAGAGAAAGGAGCTCCAAGAGGGAGCCCCAGTAGTGCCATACTGGTTTTCTTGATGATCTAGCATATGTTTGGGTTTTTTTACATTTTTTTATTGACATAAATGTGCATTCAGAAAAGTACAAGTGTGCAAATCAATGATTTTTTGTAACAAAATAAATATAGTAGGATCCATATCCAGAACGTGACCAGCACCCCAGCAGATCCAACTAAGCTACCTTCGAGTCACAGCCCACAATGGTAATCACCATCCTCACATATACAGCATAGATTTATTTTATCTTTTGAATCATATGTGAATGTAATTATACAGTACACATTCTTTTATGCCTAGCTTCATTTTAGCTTCATAATGTTCATAACATTACATGTGTAAGATTCATCCTTATTTCTTGTAATTGTGATCCATTCATTACCATTGATGTTTCATATTTCATTGTTTGGATATACCACAATGTATTGTGATTGATATTTAGGTAATTTCCAGTTTGAGGCTATTAAAATATAAATAATTGTTTCATAAATATATATAAATAATATCAAATATAGAGGTGGCTATTATACCACCTCAAAGATCATGGTGAACATTATCAGAGCTTCTGTGAAATCTTACAAAATGTATTCCCAGTGAAGCAACATAACCTGACAGTCTTGATCACACATACGTTCTGTATGCAATGAATATGAATATTCTTATATGTCTGTTGTTGAATATATATGTATGTGTGTGTGTTCTACATGTATAATATATTTTGGAGGATAGGTCTCTAGGAGTAAAATTGTTTTGGTCTATTATACCTTTGAACAAGTTTTCATTTGAGATGAAACATAAAAGAAGTGACTATATTTCAAACTACTCTGTGGAAGGTCCCACTGGTTGCTTGACCCTTACATCCTCTCATTCTCACTCAACATCCCCCATACCTGCCATGTCATATTTATTTAATACCAACTTTTTTCTAGCATCCCTAAAGGTAAGAGAAAGGTCATCTTCTTATTCTTTCCAAAAAGAACATAATGTTATGGAACTAGAAGCAGAGGACAGGGAATCTAGAGAAGTTTTCAACTACCTTAATTTTGTGGGATTTATTTTTAATATATAAGGTATTTAATTTATACCAATTACCCTGGTATTCAGTTCTTTTTTGGAAACTCATCTGAATTCAGCAGATGATTAGTAAAAGTGTATAGAGTGAATTGGGGAGACACCTTGGTGTTGTGCACAAGGTAGTCAAAAAGTTCTTGAATAAAGAAGTTTTGCTCGAAATGAGTTAAAGACTTAAATGTAAGACCTGAAACGATACTCCAAATCCTAGAAAGCATAGGGGAAAAGCTCCTTGGCATTGGTCTCAGCAATAATTTTCTGGACATGACACCAAAAGCATAAGCAACAAAAGCAAAAATAAGTGAGACTATAGCAAACTAAAAATCTTCTGCACAGCAAAAGAAACATCGATGTCAAAAGAAACAATCAACAGAATGAAAAGGCAACCTAAACAATAGAAGAAAATATTTGCAAACTATTATCTGATAAAAGGCAGAAAAGTAGACTTTGAAGTTAAACTATAAGGGCAGTTTTGTTTCTCATTGCCCCCAGATTTTCCTTTCTGCAATAGGATTTTGTCTTTGCCTCTGCTTAAATCGAAAGGCCTGTTAAAATGACTTTTCCCAAATAAGCGAGTTTAACCTCAAAAGAA